CAAGTGTGAAAACAGGAATTGCTAATGGGCTCGGCGGCAACAAGGGAGGGGTTGCGGTGGCGTTGTCTATCGCCATGACGGTCTCGCCCTTGCAGATGGTTCCGGGAAGAAGAAAGGGCGAGAGCACTTCTCACACGGAAGGGAGCACGTCGTCGGTTTTCTCACCTAGAGAAGGCGGTCTATGCTCCGTGCATGTAGGTGACGATGTTAATTTTGAGGCCAGCGCGCCACCACGCATTACCCTACTTTTCGTTGGAGCTCATTTGTCTGCCCATCAAAAAGGTGTGCACATGCGGAATAAAGATTATCTTTCCATTGTGCGATCGTTGCGGGTCGGGTCTCAAGGCCGCCACAAGGCACTTTTTAGGGAACGATTTTTGCACGAGTGTCCGTTTAATGAAGAATTGAAAGACGTGGACGGGGGTGACAACAACGAGGTGTTGGTGTCAGGATGTGGGAACGGTGTGGACGACGAGTGTGGCGATGTCGAGTGCAGCAGTGATCTTTCACTCATGCGCCTTCCGGTTGCCCAAAGTAATTTTGACTCTCGGCTTTATCGCGATGTCACGGACGAGTTCGATCTTGTCTTTTTTGGTGGGGATCTCAACTATCGCATCAACGGCACACGCAAGGCGATTGAGTACATCATCAAAAACCACAAGGACATCCGCTCGATTCTTGTCCATAATGACCAACCGAATCTTGAGCGGGCGAAGGGCCTTGTTTTTCGTCGATTTTATGAGGGAAATCTTTTGTTTCGTCCAACGTACAAGTACGAAATTGCTCATGACGCGTACAATTACACAAAGAAGAAGGATCGCATGCCGGCGTACTGTGATCGTGTTCTCTACAAGAGAGGACAGGGCTCTAGGGCCGGGAGGGTACGAATACGTCTCTACACGGATGTACAGCACCTTCGGACAAGTGATCATCGGCCGGTAGTTGCCATATTTGACCTTGCGACGTGTGCACATTTACCGTCTTTTCCACGTTGATTTCCCTAGGAGAGCGGCGAATTTCAATGCGCACCTTCTTGAATCTCCGGAATGCCTCGTGGTGTGTTCTCTCTTGCTTCATTTTTTTTTTTTTTGGGTGTGTGTTTGTGTGTGTGTCTGTGGAGCAGCATGCGGTTTGGTAAGTCTTCACGTGTATACACTTGTAGGAATACAATGCAATGAAACATCTCCCTCTTGTTTTTTATTTATTTTCCTTTTCTTTTTCTTTTTTTACTTTTTTTTTTTTTTTTTCAATATTCACGTATATCCATATCTATATATATTTCCCCTTCATATATTGTTTTCCATGGTTGTTCATGGTCTTATCCTTTCTGTGTGGCAATGCCGCATAATTGCACACGGATACTATAGAATGAGTTTATTTATCTATCTATATACATATACATATATTTATATTTATATGTATACATGTGTGAGTGTGGAATGCGTGAGTCTGCATTTTTGAAGGAAAAGAAAAGTGGTGAATTTGAAGCTGGGATGAGCACCTGCCTTGTTGCTGTGGGATGTGTGTGGTGTGTGTGGGGGAGGGGGGGG